TCCCCCTCCTTGTCGCCCCAGAGTCGCCCCCGTGGCGCATGGTGACGGGGGAACCTGTTCGTGGTCCTGCTATAGGTTGATAGGCCCGGGTCGAGATGGAGGTCGAGGCAGGTACTCTACGTTTTTGTCTTCATCGTCGTCGTCGTCGTCGTCAGCGGAGCGCTTTTTCAGCGCAAGATGATCGGGTCAGCGGTTGTGGTCGGGACAGGTCGGTTAGACAGCGATCGTCAATGTGCGACGAGACGAGACGCGCGGTTGGGTTGGTGGTTTGGGCGGTTTGGGTGGTTGGGGGGAGAGCGAGGGGAGGGTGGTGGTGGTGGTGGAGGGATCCGTGGTGGAGGAGAAGATCAGGAGAGCGACGGACGGCGGGGGAGAGACGGCATCGGATCGGGGATGCGAAGTTGATGGCAGGTGGAAAAAGGTCGATGGAAATGCGATGCCTCAGGGGAGCGAGCTCAATTGAACCGAGTTGTGTGTGGAGAGGGGTGTGAGATGTCGGTCGAGCTGTGGTCAAGAGGTGTGCAGCAGTCTGGTCCGGTCCTTGCGAGGTGTTTCTCGGGATCAGGTTCGATGAAGGGACGTGGAGTCTTGGACGTGTGGACCACTGGTCCATCCGTGGAGTGGAGTGAGGAGTGGAGGCGAAGCCCCAGCCTGAGGTGAACCTGCCTGAGGTGAACCTGCCTGTGCTGGCCTCTCTCTGCCTGCCTCTGCCTGCCTGAGGTGAGTGTGCCTGCCTGAGCCTGAGAACGAAGCAGGCAGGGCCGGCGACCGCAGTGGAAGGAGCATGGGACGCACCAAAGAGCCAGTGACAGGTGAGCATGGCGCGGTGGGGGAGGCGAGTGGATCTCACACGGAATGAGGCGCCGTGCGCCGTGCCCCGTGCGTCCGACAGGCGAGGGCACGGGCCAACTCTGCATGCCATTCTGGCCTGCCCAGGGAGCCCAAGGGCCCTAAAAGGCTGCTGGCTGCTCGATCACAGGGGCGAGATCGACGCCACTGGACCCCCTAAGCATACATGGTACAGCGGCCTTTGCCATTCTCCAGCAGACAGCCTGCGCTACAGCGGCCAGAAGCCTTCTAGCGTTGCAGCGACAGGCTCTCCCCCTCCCCCCCTGACATGCCAAGCCTCGATGGACTCGCCTCTTCCCCCTTCTCCTGGCTGTCGGTTCCTCAATTAATCTTGAAGAGATTGATTGGCCTCCCCTCGTGGCCCTCGAGAGACCTGTCTGGCGGGTCACGACCTTGGTACTCTCAGAGGTGACAGGCCTGCGTGCGTTGATGTATCTACAAAGTAGAACCTGAAGGTACCTACCTACCTACCTAGGTACCTTAGGTGGTAAGGAGGTATCCTACCTGGTAGTGAGGTACCGTAGTGTTGGCAACCACACCAGTCTCATGCTGACCCCTGAGCTCACCTCGATACGCTTGGCATCCCAGGTCTTCTTCACATCACCAATCCACACACCTAGCAAGCGAGAGAGAAGAAGAGAGAGTGACAACCTCCTTCCAAGCTCCCGGCGGCATGATCGACGGGCCAGACCTCCCCCTCCCAGCCGACAGGGTCTCTCCAAGCATTCGTCAACCACGCCTTCAGGGAACATACCTGGAAAAAACAAGCTATGATCCTGACGACGACCACCTCATTGGCAGCTCCTCCACCAAACGGAACATTCCCCTCCTCGGACTCCATCCTAGTCCACGCTCGTCCAGTCGTCCAGTCATCATGCATTCATGCACTTGCCTCGATCGACATCAAGTGCCGAGAGCGTTCACCAACCGATCCACGGTGACATGAAGGTCCACGGTGACATGAAGGTCCACGGTGACATGAAAGCAAGGAAGAAGGAAGAAAACAAGTCTTCCGAGCTTGCCCAGACTACACATGCCGTCGTGGTTACACATGAATTGAGCTTGAGCGGCCTTCATTCCCCGGAGCCATTTACCACCAGACCCAACCTCATGAAACATGGCAGCATCATCGCAGCCTTTGTGGCCGTCGAGACAGTTCGAAGGACCAGATTCGAGAGGGGCACAACGAGAGAGTCCGCAGCTCATTAGTATGGGGTTTCAGGATGCCGCTGGAATGCAGCTGATACCCGCCCACCAGACCACTCTGCCATCAGATTCAAGTTCACGAGAGCCGAGGGCGAGGGAGGGGAACATGGAGGAGAGTGATGGCTTGGTCTCCCTCTCCCTCCCCTCTATCTAGGGCCCCCCAAATTCCCAAGGTCTGCTCTGCCGCACCATGATCCCTCCTGCGCCGTTCAGATGATCCGAAACAACCACACCCCCAGGCTTGCGGCCTCCCCCGCTTCCCGGGAGGTCCTCCTCTTCCCTCTCCCGTCTCAAGACATCGTGTCTCTTCTTGTTCTTTCGTCATCTTCATCGTGTTCCTGTCCACTGTCCACCTCTGCGCCAACCCATTCGCCCGCCGAAACGCCACGCCAAACCCGCCCTGCTCCGGTCTCGAAAAAGGTTCATCTCAAAGATTCCACTCCCTGAACGCCGTGCCACGCGCACCCTCCATGTGACCTCGTCCTTCTCCCATCAACTCCATGTACGCAAAGGCTAGGAACAATCGCATCCTACTCTCTATTGCACAGCCTTCTTGCCGCCCCTCAAACCCAGAGAGTCCAACCAGCTCCCCCTCCCAGTGAGAGATATCCCGTGCCGCACATGTAATGCATGTATGCCTCAATCCCAAACACCCGGGTCTCGAACCAAGGCCCAAGGCCCCCCGCCCAAAAGCAAAGAACAAAAACATTCCTCCGAACCCGACTCGCCCAGGAGCCAAACACTGGGGACCCGCAGCGCAGCGCCCCGCACCCCACTCACGCCGCAGCAGCGAACTTTTTTTCGGCAGACATGTTTTGTTCCCTCCCCCCTTCGCCCTTCGACGCGAAATCGCCGCGCTGGCAGTCTGACACGCTACACGCCATCGTTAGCTGTGTAGGTCCTCGTGAACAGGCCGTGGCGATCGACTGGGGCGGAAACAGAGAAGCGGGAGCTCACACCTCGCATAATGGGCGGGGATTCCTGTCGTCAGGCTCCCTCCCGTTCGCCCTCCCCCGGGGACTAACGAGGTTTTCTAGAACGCCTCGCTGGGACGGAAGAATGTTCCTGTCGGGGGTCCGGCGACGTGGAATCGGCCCTGTCGTATCACGCATCAGTCTGCATCTCCACCCCGGCTCCGCCATAGAAGTCCGGCACCTGCAGTTTGAGAGTGAAAATCTGTCGACCATGACTTGCAACGTCAGCACGACAAGGGACGAGGGCAGTGCCTTGCACAAAAGGAACAAACAACCGTGGACAGACTCGTGTGCGCCTTTCCATGTATTCTGCATACACGGTACGACAATATCCGTTGTGCCGCCTTGCTGCCGCTCCGGCTGTTGTAACGCTTGTTAGACGTTGATTTCACTCGACTGTGCAGCACACGACTGATGTGACGTGATTCATATCAAAATATACGCTTTGCTTTCCCTGATATTTACAACATGGTATAATTTTTGCCCTCACAGGCAGCGAGCCTCGATCAATTCACGCTCGCGTTGCACCGGCCGCCCATTCGGCTCCCGTGTGCGGCGGCAAACCCCACAAAGCGGGCCGCCACCCCTCCCAGTAGTCCAGGGCAGGGCGCGGCGGGCCCGCCCTCGCCGCGAGACAGTTGGCTCGGCATTACAGCCCGGCCATGTCTGGTTTCATCCTCACACCCGATTGTCCAATTTTTTCTGTTTGTACAAAAATAACGCAGACAATGACCGATCACAGCCTGGCCTGAGCCTTCTCAGCGTTCAGAGCCTCAGCCTCCTCGAGGATCAGCTCGGCGCAGCGCTTCACCCGACACCAAGCACCGTCAACATGGGGTTGATGGAGGGAATGGTGGGGAAGACGCCAGCGTCGGCGATGCGCACGCCGCGCAGACCGCGGAGCTTGAAATGCTCGTCAACGACAGCCATGCCGTCCTGTGAACGTCACCCATCTTAGTGGTGCCGCAAGGGTGGTAGACGGTGTGGGCGGCGCGGCGGGCGTACTCGGACAGGGCCTCGTCGGTCTGAATATCAGGGCCGGGAGCAACCTCCTTGGCGATCCAGTCCTTGAAGGGAGCCTGCTCGGCAACCTTGCGGGCAGCGCGCATGCCGTAGACGAGAGTGGCGGCATCGTAGCCCTCGGGGTCGGTGAAGTAGCGGAAGTCAAGCGCGGGCTTGACCTTGGGGTCGGCGGAGGTCAGGTAGATGCGACCACGCGAGCGGGGACGAGGAATGTTGGGGGTCATGCAGAACGTGTAGCCGTCCTTCATCTCGGGGTATCCGAGACGACCGGTGTTCAGAGTGAAGGGGATCTGGTAGCAGTGCATCATGACGTCGGCAATCTGACCTTCGGCGAGACCTTGGGGGTTGGCGGCGCTCTGAGTGGCACCGGCGTTGGGAGCCTCACGGCGCAGGAAGATGCCAGCGTCGGAGTCCATGGTGGTCTGGTTTTCAGGCACCTTCTTGTTGAGCTCCCAGAGAATGATGCTCTCAGGGTGGTCCTGGAGGTTCTCGCCAACGCCGGGGATGTCACGCACCACCTCAATACCGAGATCGCGGAGCTGCTGAGCAGGACCGAGGCCAGAGTGCAGCATGAGACGCGGGGTGTCAACGGCACCGGCACAGAGGATGGTCTCGGCCTTGGCGTTGACGGTGTGGCTGGTACCGTCCTTGAGAGTCAG